TTCACTGGAGATTATGGAAAGTTCTGAAGAGAGACCTCTGAGAGAGTCGGGGCTCTGGTCTGTCATAGAAAAGCAAGTCTGGAGCGGTACCTATGTGAGTTCTGTGAGAGGAGGGCCAGCCTATTCCCACCCGTCTGAACCAAAGGGACACTTTTTCCTACAAAAAAGAGCCATGAAAGCAGAACATAAATGCTTGCAGGAGAGGGTGCTTGTGTGAGACACAAACAAAACATCCTCTCCATGGTACACGGAGCTTTCCAGACGATTTGTCGCAATCCACCGTGGTGCTCACCAGGGTGTTTGATTTGCTTGGAGGGGACACGGCATCTCCAGCCGCTCCATCCACCCTGCGCTCTGCTCTGTGCCCACCTGTGAAGGAGCTGGCTGTGTGGGGCAGCCTTTTCCCAGGCCCTTGCTTTGGTGCTGTGAGTGCCCCGAGGACATGCACTGGGCACAACCCTGGGTATCGCTGTAGCTACCTGGTAATTTGCCAGATGTGGCCGTAGATCTTGGCTGTAGTGTGGTACAGAGAGGCTGCGTGGGCAAAGTGCTGTGCCTGTGTCTGCACATCGGCTCGTAAGTAAAATAAAGTGCTAATAACAAGGAGCTTAAAAAGAAGTGAGCCCAACAGAGAACAGTAGAGAGAGATCATGCTGAAAGACAGGTAGGACCTCTCATACGAGTGTCAGAACATCCTTAGGGAGAAGAGCCCAGAAGGTACAGCACGTGTCCTTGGAGTGTACAGCTCCTTCCCATCTCCGAAGACGTCTGGAGCTGTGGTGACACAAGGAATGATCTGCTTTTATGTTTTTTGTAATAGTTTTGTTCTTTCTCCTCCTCCCTGTTCTTTTTGGAATAAGCTTAAGAAGTGGATTATATCCCAGCAGAGGGAAAGGTAGGCTGAACTCACAGGTTACCTTTTGCTCCTCTGGCCATCCTCGGAGGGCTGGCAGGGAGCAGCAGCAGTGTGCAGGACGGACGTGTTCTGGGATTTGATGTATTTGTTGCATTGAGACCAGGGAAGTGACTGTTTCCAAGAAGTGCATTGACTCTCTGAAAGGGGGTGGGTGAGCCAGTAGGGTGGGGAAGCGGTATCTTCCATTGGTACTGAGCAAAATGGTACAAGAACATCCCTCCACCCCTCCACCCTCACCAGATCTTTACAAAACGGGCTACAAGGCCAGCCCTGTGCGCGGAACCTGATGGACAAACTGTTGTTCATCCATTGCACTTTGCTGGGTCCCAGATGGGGAGGAAGGAGTTCCAGGGCCATTTTCCTCTGTCCCCTCCATGACCAGCAGCCTCCTTCCCTTGGGGCAGGCTCCATAGCAGCGGTCGCCTTGGGGGGCCTTTGCAAGGGGCCAGCCTTTCAGCGTCATTGTCATGGGAAGGCAAAGCAGAGTTGTTAACCCACGTGAGCTGGTCTGTCAGCTCAGTCAGACCTTGGGAGAGGTGGAGGTCACAGACCTTTACCAGTTTCACTGGTGGGTTGGTGATTTAGGGGCATATTGCACAGTCGTATGCCCTGGCCCCCAGTTACCCAGGACGGAGACCTGCTTGGGTGCACTGCAGCTGCTGACCTCTGTGCCCTGGTTTCCCAACCCAGGATGGAGATGGGCAGAGGAGAGGGCTTTGCGGCATGCCCCCATCTCATCCCAGTGTGTATTCAAGTTGTGATTGTTGGTTGATTGGATGTGCAAAGCATTTTTAGACGATAGAAATAAATAAAAAAGAACAGGCACAAGTTTCTAACAAGTAATGTCATTTAATGAATGATATACTCTAGAAAATAGAAACTACCCAGATGCTGGTTGGTTGGTCTGTTTGGGGCTGGGAGAAGGCCCTTCCTTGGACATAGAATGCCTTCTCTGGATTTTTTTGTCAGCAGTTGTAGTTGCTGGAAACAAGGAATCGTCCATATATTGAAAGAGACACTAAGGGGGCAATTTTTTTCTAAAATGTGGGAAGTACGTAGTTTGCCTTCCCACCCTGTCTTATTGGGCAAGCGGCATGAAGGGCTCAGAGCTCACCAATATCTTTACAGATGATTTATACCTAAAAGGGATAGACTCAACGAACGGTACCTACCACAGTTCAGTCCTCTAAAATCATCGGAAACTTCTCGCTTTGCAGAACATCTTGTGGGCTCTGGTGTTATTGCACTTCTTTCTGGGTGCTTTTCTGCACGTGTTGTGTCTCTTCCCTCAAGTTCTGGCTGGTGATTCCAGGGAATATGCTTTTCAGAATGTCACAGTACACCGTGTACAACTCTGGGTCTATTTTGGGCTTGGGCAGAGCGCAGGAGTTGCAGGCCTGTTCAGTGACTGAGTGCTGTAGCAAGTAGACATCGCTGAAGAGTGCAGTTAGGATCTTGTGTGCAGCCTTGTAAGGGTCGTCTTCAAACTGCACCATTGCCTTGAGCTCCGTCAGGGTATAGCCGTTGTAACGCTTGCTGTCTTCGGCCAGGGGCTGCACGGTCTCACCAATGTGTCTCACTTTCCACTTCAGGCATTTCAGGTCGTCTTTTACATCCTCTAGTTCTTTCTCCATAGCTTGGAATTCCTTCGCGGTTACAAATCTCCTGCCAAGGAAAGAAGCGGCAGACACAGTGTGGAGTTCAGAGGCTCAGAGGAATGAAATCAACCCAGCTTGCCTGGGGTCAGACCGTGGAGCCTGAAGCTTGGGAAGGGAGATACCGGCCATGTCACGGAATACCATTCCCAGCTCTTATCTGTCAGGCTTCATAGTAACAGCAGAATTTCTCTCTGCTAGTATAGGGAGAGATGTGCTTTCTTGTTTGGAAGGAAATGAGGCACCTTAAAAGTGTGCCCTGTTGGAGGAGCTGAGGTGGACAACCTGGCCCAGGGATGGTCTGTAATCAGGTCTGGAGAGCTAAATGAATGTATGGAAAATAATGGTATTTTGCTTCTTGGATAACAGGGTTTTGTGAGAGCACAGGGTAGTTACTGGAAGACAAACACTGGGAACATCTAAATCATAAAAGATATTTAAATTTTTTTTATGAGGGGTTCTTGATGACCCTATAGCAGGTTGAGTCATTTGAGGACTTAAACATGTGTATGGTCTGGATACGTACCTTTCATGATCAGGATCTTCCAGATCTGATTCAAAACCCTTTCCTGTATTCTTTAATCCAGTTTTAGAATAGCCAGGAGACTGGGAACTATCTTCAGGAGTCATTGTTGCTGGAGGCCTTGTGCTTTTCCTGGTTGGGGTCAGTGTGTGATCTGATGCTGAAGCTTGTACGTTTTGTGCTGTGTGAGGACAAAAGGTATAGAAGGAAGTTGCATTGATCCCTGGACTGACTGGAGAGGAGTCAGAGTATTGCTGTGGCTTGGCTGAGCTGGGTGTTAGACTGAGCCTGGGGCTGGCTGGGCAAGATGCTGGAATAGTCCTTGTTCCGAGTGGGCTGGAACACAATATTGCTAAATTTTTCTCTCTTTGTTCAAATGGTTGAGGGTTTGGAGATTCTCCTGGGGCCAATCGAGTGATGGAGGTAATGTCCAGCAGGGTTTGATCCTGAACCATGGAGAGCTGGCTGGTGGGTTCTGATGAAAGTGAAGAGCTGCTTGATGTGTCGCTGGAAGAGCTTGACGTAGCGAATGGGGGTATTTTCTGAGCATGATGGTCACTCCTGTTCCTCTGCGTGCTAGTGACATTTAGAGCTGGGTGTTGTGAAGCCCTAAAGAAAGACAAACACATGCTTTTTCCTCTGGACTGAGCGAAAGGCTTATAAGACAATTTTAGGCCTATTTTGGGACAATTTTAAGCCTTTTCCCCATAACTGCTTTTCCCCATAGGCTGATTTGCTTCTCATGTCTGTATAAAACCCTCTGCTTCTCATGACCAAGAACAAAGTGTTTGAGAATAAGGCACATAAATTCAGGACCAGTTCCTCCCTGCTGCCAACTAAGCATTGGTAGCTCTCATCAGTGTGATAACCACTGGCACATCAGTGTTCTCCTTCCCAAAAGTCACACAGCTCTGCGAGAACCAAGGATTTGGTGCTGGGGAAGGACAGGAAGGGAAGAAAGCTACTGCTGTATTGACTGGGACAAACTGCAGTCAGAATGCAAAAGGATAAAGCCTGGCTCACAGGTTGCCACAGCACCTGCCCTTGATCATCCCTGCAAAGTGTGAAGACCTGCCTTTATCTTGGGCCCACGTGCTTCATTCTCCTGGTAGCTCTGCAAGGTTACCCAGTGAATTAGGGGATGAATAAACAGGCAAGATAAAAACAGAAGGGCAGCACAGAATGACATCATTGTTCCTGTGGTGACATCATAGGACATTTCTTTCATACAGCTCAGTGTGTTACGGACTTTTCTTCCCCCACGCTTAGCTGTAGACTATGTACAGGGCTGACCAGCTGTTTTAGGTGGCTGGAAATGCCAACTGCATGGGATGCCAGAGTACCCCTCCGGATTGTTGTTTCCTGTGCTTTTCTCCTGGCTGCTGCCGGCAGGAGAGATCCCAGTGCTTTTTTATCCCATGGCTAAATTTTAGTTAGTTTGGCAACACTACCGGCAAGAGAGGAAGCTGTACCCCTGTAGACTGGAATTGGCCTGATGGGTAGCGAATGCAGCTCGAAATGCCTGGACCTTGAAGGGGAACACCAAGATACCCACTGTGCAGATCATGATTAAGAGTTCTAACAGCCAAAGGACATGACAAACTTTTGTAGCGATACCAGTGACCAAATGAGTTTTCTTGTGCATCTGGTGTATTCATATTCCTCTTGTGGTGGAAGACAGCAGAAAATCCTGGTCTGGATGGGTTATACGAGATCTATACCTGTTCGTACCGGTCACTTGACTTAGCTACAGATTCCCTTCTCCACCTCCCTGCACCCTTCTCCGCATTGGATGCAATTAAACGCCAAATTTCTAAGGTCCTAAAGAGCATGCCTCACACCTATTGGCTGCAATAGGGTTAATTAAGGCCTTTGAAAGATCACAGCGTAATTGTCAGGTTTAAATCAAATTTAGATTTATAGTTTATAATTGGAAAAGCAGACAGTAACAGAGCTACTGGATAAAAACAGAGCCAAAAAAGGAGCATAAAATGAGCTCTATAAAAGGCGGGAGAGAAAGCAAGAGCACACATGTACTGAGGGAGCACCCTTCCCCAGCAGTGCCTTGCTTTCATAAACTGGCTGAACGGGGGTGGAAGACAAGAATTGCCAGCTAGATATAAGGAAAAGCTTCTTCACCCCAAGGACGTTCAAACACTGGGACAGAGGCCAAGAGAGGCATTGGGATCTCCATCCGTGGAAGTATTCAGAACTCAGCTGGAGAAGGAACTAAGCAGCCTGATCCAGCCTGGTCTAATGGACACACTGTGAGCAAGGGGCTGGACTAGAGACCTCCAGAGGCCTTGTCCACCCTGTGTTATTCTGTGATTCAGTGATTCTGCCTAACTATGAAAATAACTTATTTGCCCCACAGTTCCTGCTTCTGCTTTCATTTTTCTCCTGGCTGAGTCCCATCTCACCATCCTTCTCTTCCATTGGCGCCTCTGGGCTGTCCCCTTCCGTACTGACTTTATAATACCTGTTGCAGGAGAGTCCCTCATAAATATAAAAGTTTTTAAAGGAGAAAACAGGGTTACTTGAAGCCCTCTGGCTCAGATGGATTGCTTAAGTCTGAGTCTGTAGCTCAGGCCTTTGGGAGCGAGGGTGGCCTGGAGCTGGGCATCTTTGTTGTGTTGCCTTGGTACATTGAGTTGCTGTTTCTCAGTCTCTCCTGAAAGCAAGGAAGGATGGCTTGTAGTGTGTTGGGTCATGCTGTGGAGGTGGTCAGAAAGTTGGAATTTGGCACAAATGAAGCTGATATTGATTGTTCGTTTCTCACCAGACTCAGAAACCTGGTAAGCGTGTGAGGACCTAGAGCCAGAGCTGCTCTAGAGTCAGGGGCTGCTCTGGGAGCAAGAGGAGGAGTAGAAAAAGGTGATCTTCTGGCACAAAGAACACAAAGGTACTGGTTATTTATTCAGAGCTGAATCTCAGGCATTCCTTAATCTTCACTACGAAACTCCACATTCAGGAAATACTTTTTGCTGTAGGAAACTTATTCTGACAAGAGCAACCCCCATTTTAAAGCAACTGAAACAAAAATGCATGTTGTAACTTTTTTGTTAAAAATATACATATTTGTCCTCAAATATCTTACAGTCTAAAACTATCTGAACATTAAGTGAGCAACAGTCCCTACCTACAGTCTGGGGGAAAATGAAATATGCACAGTAACTGAGAGGCTATTTGGGTGCATATACAATCTGAAATACTTCATTTCACATCTTCAGCAGTGTTGGACAGGCTTGGCTTTTTTGTGTGTTCTTTTTGGTTGGGTTTTCGGGTTTGTTTGTTTTTTGGTTTTTGTTTGGTTTTTTTTTTAATAAATCCAGGATTAACTGTAGGAGATGGAACATTTACTGAAAGATGCAATTTAAAAGAGTGACAGAAAACATGTTTCATAACTAATCTCACTGAAATTTATATAAGAAATGTTTCCAATTCACCTGTGCACTGGAGGAAACAAAGAAGTATTATAAACTACCACTTTATTTTGTTTTCCTTTTCCACCCTTTAATTTTCACTGGCTGCAGTGCTAAACATGGGACTGAATTTACTTTTATCATCATGCTTATCTCAGAGTCAGAGGAGCTGGTTTCTTAAGAAGCAATCTGAAGCTTGTTAAAGCAAAATGTTAGTCTGGATTTTAGCAGAGGTAAATGAGGACAGACCTGAGACCACGAACTTTGGAGTTTCCTAGTGGGCAAGGGTTTCCCTGAAGACAGGAATGAAATTCCCATTGCTTTCAATATAGCAAGGCTGGATCTCAGACCTGTAAGCATGGTGCTTTATCAGAGGGGATTTTTTTCCACCTGTTTTTATGTAGTGAATCACTATGAACTGAATAAATTACAGGAAGAATGGCAAGATCTGGAGTTAAAATCAATGCTGACATGAAATAGATGGGTGATTGCAGCTGTCAGGTACCTCCACAAGGAGAAACCTTGACTCAACTTTGAGCGACACGTCAAATGCGTCAAGCCCTTGTTGTCTGCCTTTTTCCAGCTCTGTGCTGCTCAGCATACAAAGCATGTTCCCTGTTGTCAGAGTGACCTTGTCTGCCGTCTGTGCCTTGCCCTCTCCAGCTGAGCTTGTGTAATAGACTTTTCGTAGTACTGAATTTGGAGACATTTGAAAGTTGCCTGCAAACCCAGCACTGCTTTCCTTCTGTGGCACTTGCGGCCAAGAAAAAACAGTGGATATTCTTTTTTTTATGAATCATTTCCACCATGTTTTAAATCTAGGGTTCTTCTGATGATCTTGTTTGAATAGAAAAAAAATGACAATATGCTTTAGAGTGAAGCACTGAGGGGCCGGTTGCATAAATCTTAGTGTAGACAGCCAGAGGTGGGAGGATGGGGGAAGAGCTGTGGGATGGACCCAGGGGAAATGCCTGCAGGGTGATGGTATGAGAATAAAATTACTTTTTTTGAGGCCTCCTCTTTGTCAGGTGACCCTCCTAAAATGCCCACACTGCCAAAACAGTGACTATATAATTTTTTTAATGCTGAATTCATTTTGAATAATCTTTCAAATTTCTGTGAGAAAAGCTGGTGTCCTGGAGCCTGGGTGTCTGCTTCAAATAACAACCAAGGCTTTTAGCTGCAGACAGTAAGAATACGCTATTGCCTGCTCAGGTCTTGGCTCTTCTGAGCCACTTGTCTCCTCTTTGGCTTTGTCACCAGATCTGTCTCTCCTTGCCCTTCGTGACACTTCTCCTGCCTCTCTCTTACCCCTTGTTCTACATCTATCATCCGTACCTGTCCCATCTGCCCTGTGGGTCCCAGGCACATTGATCTAAGGAGCAGGCTCATGATATTACTGCCTAGTGGTCGGAGAAGACTGGAGGAGAGGGTGGAAGCAGCATGGACATACAGATGTCTGAAATCAGGTACAGTTGCTGTCTGGAGCCTCAGAACAGTGAGCATTTCTTGGTAATAAATAACTGTGCAACAACAAAAAATATCCTGATGTGAAACTTCTGTCGTTTTTGTGTAGGGACTGTGCACAACCCAGCCCTGCACATCTGAAAGAAAAAGTCGAGACCCCCAAGGTCAAAAATGACAGCAAATAGACTCTTAAGAGTGTTTAGAGCTTTGCGAGGGAAATGCTAAGTTTGGTATGAACGAAACATGACTGGGGATATCAGATGTATAGGGGCCAGCGCCATGTATTTGCACAGGAAGGCAGCTTGGTGAGAGCAGAGGATGCCGATTTATAGCTAGAGCTCCCTGATGCTGGTCTTAGCCCGGCTCAGGCAAGTTTAAACCCAGTTAAAGGAAAATTATAGTTTAGTGATGGGCATTAAATGGTTTAATATAGAATTGTCAAGACTGACTATTGCACTGCCCCGATCCTCTGGAATCAAGCGTCTGATGAAATTTATAATTTAAGGCCACTTCTCAAAATGGATAGCTTAGTCTTGTCAACAGAGGAACCTGAGATGCTGCCCTGGTCCTGGCCTGGCGTAAGGCCCTTCATGCTACCTGCGCTCTCACAGTGCTGCTGAACTGTTTGCAAATCTTTAACTTTCTCTCTTCTAAAATCACCTGGCCAGTTGGTGTTTGTCTTCTATGATTGCTCAGGCTTGTTCTTTTATTTAAAGTTTTTATTGTTTCACTCTATAGCAGCACTCCCCCTAAATCCTTGCCCCTCAACAAAGACCAGGTGCCCCGTTTTGTCTTTGTGGAATGACAGAAAAAAGCACGATGTCTGAGGATAAGTGAATATTCCTTATATGCTCTTTGGTTCAAACCAGAACAGCCTCAGAGCATTTCTAAGTGAGGGCAGCCAACAAGTCCTCCAGGGAATGAAATACTGGTTGAAGTGAGCAGCAGGAGTAACTTCTGGTGATACGGCCTTGTGTCCTACTGGTACAGGACCATGTCCGTGTGAAGGGTTCAAACAGAGCTCAGTGTGATCTGCCGGCATTTACTCCGCTGGTGGAATGGAGGCGTTGAGTTGACCAAGCAATGGTGAGGACTTGGTCTGCTCTAGGTGATGTGCCCTCTTCTTTCATACAAGCAGGTCCCTGGATAACCAACGGGCCAGTGTAACTTTTGTGGCTGCTCTGACTTTAGCAGAGCACTGCTCATGTCGTTCTCTTGCCATTAACAATTCTTAGCTGGCTGTGAGCCCATCGCATGGGTAATGCGACAAAGAAGAGTGGGAGTGTATGAAGCTGGAAACAACGTTAAGGAGAATCCTCTGATCAGGTACAGGCCAATTAGGGCTTGATGGGGCTTGTTCCAGGAAGGAGACTTTCATCTGAAGGTTGTAAGGCTTTGTGCCATCCTGAGCAGCAGCAACTAACGGTTTTTCCTCCCTAATAAGCATGAATAATGAAGATTCTGAAGCTGAAGTTGGATTCATAAGTCAACTGAACTGAGAGCAGACCTTCACTCATGTCACTTTATTAATATTGATCTGATTTCATTACAGTAGATAACTGATGTAGTCGTGAAGAATGGCCACTGTTCTTTAACCTGATACCGGACTTCACGTTTGCAGTTTGCTTTTACAGTGCTGTCAGCACCCCTGTGGAGGTAAGCTATATGTCCTTTAAATTGAAGTACTGGGGCAGGGCTGGATGTAGGACCAATAGAGCCTTGTTTCTATTCCTTGGCACACCTAATGTCGAGAATTGTTATTTGTTCTTTGAAACAAAGACCTTTGGACAGTCTTCATAGTGAGATAAGCATATTTGAGCACTAGCCAGTAGCTTGGCAAGTAGGGAATTTTCTTGGCAAATATGACCCAGATCAGTTTTGTACTAGTAGACATTTTCACGCCTGTGAAAATGAAAGATGTGGGTCTGCCTGTGGAAAGGCCCATAACTGACGTGACATTTTCAAGGTGCGGGAGTTGCCAGGTGAGCTGATGACAAACCAAGGTGGAGAGCAGTGCTAGCACTATCATGCCTGTGGGGAGACCACCTGCAGTGACATGGGACTGGAGAGCTGTTCCAGCAGGTCTGATGAGGGATCAGGACCCTCAATTATTAGGGTTATGGACACCAAACTGCCATGAGTATGTGGCCGAGCTGTGTACCTCAGCAAGACAGAGGCAGCAAAATTGGGAGGTTTCCAATTTTTATTAGCGCAGAGTCAGCAAGTCACTTTCCCAAGCCTCCCT